CTGTTTAACTGTCTTCCTCCTGAAACAGGTGGAAGACAGTTTAACAGCAAAATGGACCAGCCATATTCCCAACCGCAGCAAACTTCAAGTTGCTCTCTGCAGACGCAAGGTATCCTGTTATGCAGTTCTTCAATATTTAGGCAGATTTAGGTAAAAACGTCTACTTTTCCAACAAAAGTAAAACAAAACCTGCCGGAATATTTGTTTTTCATTTAATCTTTTGAAATGAAATGTCAAAAATCTTTTTTTTTTTTTTCCATTAAATTATTTGTTGCTCTTAATTTGTCTTTGTCACAAATCTGGACTCCTATTACACAGAAACTCCTCCAGGTCTTCAGATCCCAGCTGTCTTTTCTTCAGTTTATTTTCCAACATGAACCTAATGCACTCAAGAGCCAAGAAGATGAATGGCTGCATCTGGAGGCCAGGGCTAAAGATCTGCAGCAACAAGTTCTGGAGGAAGAAATTACTTCTCAAAAGAGACTTAAGGTTTGTATTTTTTATTGTTTTTGCTGAAGAATACATGAGTTTATGAAAACATCAATCTGCATTTATGTTGTACATTAACTATCTGGGTTTTGCTTTAAAAACACGAATTTGTCTTTGTTTAGGATTGGATCCGTTGGGAAAAGCTTTGTGGTCAACTTGGAGGGATGTTGGATGAGTCTGAAGCCTTTATAGGTAGAGAACCTGAAGGAGATGATGATGATGAGGAGGAGACAATAGAACGGAGACTACATGCCTGTGAGGTAATTCCTGTAAAAAAAAAAAAGATTCACGCTAATTTATTTTCTAAGATCGCTTCCTTACTCCTTTTCCGATAAAAACAAAGCTGAACAGAAAATTCATATTTTAAGAGAAAACTAAATAAATAATTACCAATGCCCCTTTTTCCTGTTCACTGCTGAAACGGCCTTATCTCCTTATAAAAAAGGCTAATACAAAAAACACATTTCAATAAGTATAAAAAAAATTTAGTTTCATTTAATTTTAGATTTTGTGTTTTTGCAGTTTTACATTTTAGGAAGTGCAAGAATCAGATCACACAAACATACCTTTTGCTGGTAATTTACATTTTCTTGGGTAAAAATTCCCCGAATAACTTTGACAAACATATCAAACAACAACCAGATTCAATTTGAACAAACTAAGTTTTGAGACCCTTATGTTGTTTGAAATTAATGTAACGAAAAAAGTTAGTTATTGAAAAGGCAATGCTTTTTTGCCTTTTTCTGAAAATAGTTTTAAATATCTACATGTAAGTGTCAAAAGTTGTGCATAAAGTAACTGTTTATAAACTGCTTTGATGGCTGAGGCTGTCATTGTTTAATCTCTTCATGATTTTTATCTCTATCCTTCTCGTCTCGCAGCAAACTCTGCTCCAGCTGGAAGAGAGCAGAGCTCTGTTGGGTGCGCTTCTGGATCACAGGGCGGTTCTGCAGGCAGAGCCATGGTTCAGTACCTGGGTCAGACCGGCAGGGGGCGCTCTGGAGCTGAGATGGAAAAGTGTCTACAGACATATAGAACAAGAGATCCTGCGCCTAAGAAACATCCAGGAAAGCAGGTCCAGGTGGGCCAGGTTCAGTATTAGCAGTCAGAATGATGGATTCAGAAAACAGAATTATTAGAAAGATTTATCACTGCTTGAGTATTTCACAAATTGTCATTAATAACAGAATATTTTTTGATACGTTTTATGCTTTTAAAATAAGTTCCACTATTTGTTTTGAAAAAAATAAGCAAAGTCTTTCTCCTCCTGCCTACCCTCTATTCTTTTTAACAGTTTATTAACTTTGAAGCATCCATATTTAAAGTAAGATCAAGAGACCAACTCGCATTAAAAAAAAATTATACCACCCTTGTTTTAATCCCAAGTGGGGTCACAAGGGGTGCTCCAGCTGTCAATGGGCGAGGGGCAGGGTAGTCCATCGCAGGGCAACACAGAGACAAACAACCACCCACACCTAAGGAGAATTTAGGGAAGCCAGTTAACCTAACAGTCACGTTTTTCGACTGTGGGAGGAAGCTGGAGTACCCGGAGAGAACCCACACATTCTCAGGGAGAACATGCAAACTCCATGCAGAAAGACCCTGGGCTGATAATCAAACCCAGATCCTCCTGGCTGGAGGACAGCAGTGCTACCCACTGTACCACTGAGCAGCCCATCCTCTAAATTTATTTATCATTCTTTGTATTCTTAAGGTGTCTTTACCATTTTGCATATTCACTATATTCCATATAGGGATTTCTGCCCTGGTCTTCCAATGGAAAAAAGGAAGCAGCCATGTTAAGAGGCCCTAACCACCACAGCTAACGCTCTTTATTCTAGAGGATTAACAGCTCTGTGCCAGAGCTCCTTATCTCCAAGGCTGAGCCCATCCAGCCTATGAAGGTTATTCCCGCATTATTGCTTATAGGACCTTAGTTCCTCTATTCATCTCCTTCTCCATCCTACAATACTAGTGTGACCAAACCAAACAGCATTACCAGATTGGACAACAATGGCCTGTCCTTTCAAACTGCAGTGGTATGGAGAGAGCACGATCCCAGGCACATAAAGCTTAATTCAGCCTCCTTCTTTTGGATGACTTGGCTCGTCCTCGACTTGCCCAGGGTGTACCCCGCCTCTTGCCCATTGACAGCTGGAGATAGGCACCAGCACCCCTGGTGACCCCATCAGGGATAAGCGTAATGGGAAATGGATGGATGGATTGCTCATCCTTAAAATCAGGATGTTTATCATCCGAGTGAATGAGTGAGTGGCCTGGAGTGTTGCTGTTAAGATGGATGTCTTGGTTTCCTTCCTGGACCTGTTAACTCTGTGACTTGATATCAGATCAGCAGGGTTGATGGATATGATAACTTTCATTTAGTAATTTTTGTTAGCATCAAACACAGCAAAGGTATAGAATCAGTTTTTTGTTCCTTATTGTTTATAAGGAATAATTTCACCCAGTGGGGTCCAAGCTTTTCACTTCGTTAACCAACTTCATCGACTTGAACTTACTCAGGGGTTCAGACCCGTGAGTAAATTATCCCTAATAATTAAGTTAAAATGTATGACAAAATAGCTATAATAAAAGGAAAATACTTTGTTATACCTAACACTTCCATTTACAAAGTTAGATTTGAAAAATCTCCTCCTAAATATCCTGCATCAGCTCCATTTGCTGGAAGAATCCATTTGGCCTTTTCTTTAGCTGTACTGTAGTACGTGAGCACAGAAATACACTCTAAAGGCTGTAAATGGTCCCTGGGCCACACTTTGGACAGCCGTGCTATAACTAGTAAAACCTGTAGTTACTTAAACAGGAAGTCATCTCAGGCTTTATTGCTTTCTGTTAATTCTCTTGATGTTTTACCTGTTAAAATATTGCTGCAAAAGTTACTGAGCCCCAAAGTAAATCTGTGTTCAATCCCTCCGTATGGAGGTATTATTAATAATCTTGGATAGCCCTTTAATAAAGATTCACTTATATTAATCAAAAACATTTACAAAAAAAACATTGCAGTAGTTTTTACCATAAATCATGTCAGTGAAGTTTACTGATGACATTTCAAGCTCTTCTGAAAGACACTTTGAAACAGTTTAAGGAATTTGAGCTGGAAGACTTCAAGCCAAATAACATCCCTGGGTCCTTGTCTGTAAATATGAGTGGACCATAGCCTCTGTGGGAGGAATTCCTAAATACGCTTCGTATGTTTATCAGATTTCTGAATCCCTAACACAGACTGTAAAAGAGTTAAGGGGAAGGTTAGAAAAAAAATGTAAGCAAGACTTATTTTCATTTCTGCCCTCGGATAACTTTCAACGTTTTTGTTTTTTTCTGTTTGGGAGTGCCTTTATGTTCTACCCCACTGGTTGATCTATTTGTGTTTCCTGTCCTCCCCGCAGATTCCAGGCCGACCTTCCTTTGGTCAGTGAATGTCTGCTCGGTGCCAGCAAACACCTGAAGACTTTGTCAGATCTGGCAGATTCCTCAAACCTGAGTCAGGAGACTCTTCAAAGAAGTTTGGTTGAGCTGCTGGTAAGGCTCTCTTATCTACTGCCTTTTATTTGATTAAAAATAACCTGCATTTCTATCAGTTCAGTGCTTTAATTTCCAAATATTTGATACCAAAAATTTTTTTTTATTATGTTTATTATTAAATTTCTTTTGTTTCCTTGTGTTTTAGATTATTTTCTTCACTTTTATGAAAAAAAAATCTGTTTTAATATTTCTTAAAAATAAATCACATATTGTGGACATTGTAGCTTTGCTCAAGAGTTACAAATCCATCCATCCGTCCATCCATCCATCCATCCATCCATCCATCCATC